AGAACTTGAAAAAAGAGATTCAGAACAAAATAGTTATTATTCATGTCCAGAAATGTGATACCAGCTTGAAATTCAATCACAAGGGCTGAGTAGGAATCCCAATAAGAAAACAATATATTTACTGTACATACATACGTTTTTTGGGCATGTAAATAAATCGTCTGCCAAGGCCAAACTCCCAAAGTTCCCTCCAGAGGGAGCTTCTCTCCTACGCACTCCTCCCGTACCCCACTGCCTGAAACACCTCGATTGGTCTCTTTTGTTAACTTCTGTAACATACTGACATCACTATGTAACACTAACTACTTATATTGGCTAGTGCTACAACACATTGTACATCCGCTCCTCCACTCCCTTCACTGGCTTCCAGTAACTGCTAGAATCCACTTCAAGATACTGGTACTTGCGTACCATGCTGTGAATGGATCTGGCCCTCCTACATCCAGGACATGGTTAAACTGTACACCCCAGCACGTGCACTCCGCTCTGCATCAGCCNTCCTCGAGACTTGGTGCCGCCCACAGGAGATGCGAGCGGAGGACTGAGAAGGGGAACCGAGGAGAGGAGTGGAAGCAGCAGGCGGTTAGAGAAATTAGATTCTAATTTCTCTAACCGCCTGCTGCTTCCACTCCTCTCCTCGGTTCCCCTTCTCAGTCCTCCGCTCGCATCTCCTGTGGGCGGCACCAAGTCTCGAGGAGAGGAGAGGAGAGGAGTCGAGGAGGGGAAATTTGAGTATTGAGAAACCTCTAATGTCCGTGGCTGTCTCCTCCTGATTGGTGGAGTTGGCCCAATAGCCGTAGCGCCTCTTCTGTGACGTCACAGAAGTGTTCAAATCTGGATCAGTCTGGATCAGATCCGTTGCAGCCCCTTTTTAAGAGATTTGGGTATGGAGGAAAAGAGAGAGGGTTGTGTTTTCTGACACTTGGTGAGTTCCCTGGAACACCGGGGACACATATTCATGTATAAAACACGTACAAAAGTGCATTTTGCATGATAGGTCACCTTTAATGCATCAATATTTTCATCACAGCCATTAGGTGGAGCTAATTTGCGTATGTAAAATATACTGCTGCTTGATATTTTAACCAATTATTACGTATAATGTTTATTTATAAGTCGTTTTACATGTTTTATAGCCAATAATCTGAATCTGCAAAGTAACTAAAGCTGTCAGATAAATGTAGTGGAGTTAAAAATACAATGTTGGCCACCAAAATGTAGTGAAGTAGAAGTATACAGTATATTTGCATATAATGAAAATACTCAGGTAAAGTACCTCAAAATTGTGCTTGAGTACATTACTTGAGTAAATGTACTTTGTTACATTACACCACTGGTGAAAGGTTACAAAAACAAATTTCAGTAGGAATATCAGTACTATAAATCACAAGCTTCTGGGGGACATATTGTTTGTGTCTGTATCATCATACTGTGCCCCCCCCCCCCTCTCTCTGCAGTACATGCCTGCTGCAGCTCCTATGCAAGGAACCTACATTCCCCAGTACTCTGCAGTGCCTGCCTCTGCCATCACAGTGGAAGTAAGGACTATAATAAGTTGTTTATTGTGACGTTATATCAACTTCTTACTGCAGCCAGGGCTAACTGGTTTTGAATATTGAGAATGTTATAGTCTATAAGTCACATATGATTCTGTCATATTGTGTCTCTTCGATAAATTAAATGCTAGTAACGGAAGCTGTAGTTAGCAGCGGTCATGCTGCCAGAAACGAAAAACAGAAATGATTCATTTCCACTGAGGGCACTTAAGCCTAGATAATATCAGAATTGTGTTGCGGTTCGCTTTGGTTCAGGGTTAGACATTGCCAATAATTAAACTAAATTCCCAAAGGTCAGAAGAACCGTTATCTAATTCTGAAGATGAGCACCAGAAATTAAATTGGGTCTGCTTGAAGATCACTTTTAATCGATACCAAGTGACTTGTTGTCTTTGCTGAACAGTTTGAATGTTTTTCTCAGTAAATTACCGTATACCGCTTCTAACAATATGTAAATCGTTGTATCTGAATGGTTTCTGGTGTCAGGGTGTGGTGACAGACCCTTCTTCACAGACAGCTCCCCCCTCCTCACAGGACGCCAGCGGGCAGCAGCCTTTATCAGTGGAGAACACAGATCATGCCACAGCCTACTCTTACCAGCAGAAGTGAGTGTTGTAAAGACATCTCTCTTTATATTGCACACTTTCTGTAAACTTACCACAAAGGTATTACAGTATGTTTTTGATATATATCTCCTGTCTGTGTTGTTTAAGTGTATTTCCTTCATTGCTTTAATTGAAGAAAACAGTGGTGTCACTTAATATGCTATACATTTACAGGTGAATTAATCTGGACAAACACCTGGTAACTTTAATCAGATTCATGCAAACTGTTTTCAGTTTTAGGTTTTTTTGTTAACGTGGAAATTAGTTTTGATAAGTGAATTCATAGTGACTTGTTATATTCTAATGGAACTTATGCTAAGCTTTAGTTCCCAGAATGTCAAACTAGTCATTCAAAACCATTTAATTTAGCTTATGTGAGTGGAAAGACCTGGACAGAGAGAGAAACGTCTCCTGTACCTTCAATTTTGACATTTTTCGTCATGAGTGTTTTCTGGGGGGCTATGATTCACAAGTTAGAACAACCATGTTGAATTGTGCCCACATATATTGAGCAACAGAACACTACAGTTCTGGCAAACACAACGTGGAGCCAATTGTTTTTTTCGTGCCGAATCATGTTGAACTCTGCTTGCACAACACATTTATTTTCTTTCTTTTATTCTCCTTGTTGCCTGCCTCCTAGATAACCCACCGGTGGTTTCTTTTCCAAAAACAGCAGTCAGACAAAGGGCGTTGTGTCTACAGGAGAAACTGTGACATTGTCCACTGTTTCCTCTGTTACCCTTTTTTCACTGACTTGTTTTCTGTCTCTTTAAGATAACAAGATTGTTGGGAATCGCTGCTGCATCGCCTTCAGAAGGACTGCACTGAGGCGCTGGACACACAGAGAGAATCCAAATGAAACAGGGACAAAAAAAGAGGTGGCGTGGGCAACACTGAGGGGAGAAGGCTTCCACTGTGCACATGCACCAAATAAAAGACAAAATGAAAAAAATCTATTAAATCTATTATATTTCCTACCTGGTCGAACGAAGAAAGAAAAAAGAAAGGCTGGTTTGCTGAACTCGAGGACAATGAAATCAAATGCAGTCTGCAACTTTGAGTTTATCATTTCTCACTGTGGGACTGGACTTTGCCTCCAAAGGAAAAAGAGAAGACATAAAGTGAAATCTAAACTCAACCAACAAGCTGTAGAGAAAGAAAAAAAAGAACATTTGAATGTGCAGGTAGATTTTCAGCCTTTTTTATAAAAAAAAAAGAAGGAAGCAAAGTCTAGGGGAAAAAAACAGTTTGTCTTCCTTTGATATTAAGCTACATTATTTTTATTATTTGAGTAGTTTTCTAGAATATCAATGTTTTCGTAAATCTTTATTGCCTTAATTTTCTCAAACTTTGGGGAAAAATAGTTTCCATAGTGTTGAATTATTATAAAAAATAATGATGATGATTTGAGATTTTCTTGGAGAGTTCCAAGAGCGACCGAGATGAAATCTACAAAGCTATTTGTACAGGATTAAAAAAAAAAAAGGTTGTTATTGTATGAAGATGATTTTAAATTATGTGGTGCAGTGCAGCTGATGTTGGTTGATAGGAAAAAAAATCCTCTTTAATATGACTATTGGGAAGGGTCAATCCACTGCTTCCTGGAAAATGCAGTCAAGTTTAATGGGATAAAAGTTCTGTTATTCCATCACATTTGTATCTTTTGAGTTTTGATTGCAGCCTTTTTACCTTCAAAGACGTTTTTGCTTTGCCTGCTTTGCTTGTCTCACTGCAAAAAAGAAAAGTACAAAAAAAGGAACAAATCTGACTTTGACAAAAGCAGAAAAAACGCTAGGATTTTTAAATGTGCAAAAGCAATAGTTTTAGTAAAACTGTTGACAGTTTCTTGAGTCTTTCTTAAACGTTGAACAAAAGCAGCCAACAGGTGGCGTATTTTATACCAAAGATGAAGAAACTAGGTAGTGAAGAGATTTTCCTTGTGTTGCTTTTCCTTCATTTTTCACCTCCTTAAAACCTGAAACGGACCTGTCTTGCTGTCATGCTGTTGGCCTTTGAGACAATTTCATCAGTCACATGTTGTGGGTCTGCTATACAACTGCCTCAACCAGAAGAGTGTGCTCTGAGACGTTTGTTGTTGTCATGTGATCAAACGTGGTGAGGATCCAAAGTGCGTTGGAACATCTGTGAGAGACCAGACACCCTGTGGCCATATGGCATGGAGAAAGTGGAGGAGGTTGTTATAATATTGGGAAGTTGGTATAGAACACTTTGGTGGTAAAGAGGTTGACATCCTGTAGAATATTGATTAAACCTGTACGCCCTACCACGCCTTCTTCAGGCTGCATTGACTAATCTTTACTCAAATGACTCCTAAATGCTGGTGTAGCTCATTACAACACTATTTTTTTAATCATTAGACTCAGTTTATATGTTTTACTCCAATGTCTTGCCAAACGCAAGCCTTTTCAAATGTGAGCAGGGCGAGGATCTATCTTAAAGAAAGGGCATTTCTGTTGAACAAATCATTTCAGCTTATGTACATTCTAAGAGGAAGAGGAGAGATATTTTGTTTTTCTATTTGTGTTACACTTTTTTTGAGAATTGATTACGTGTGAGCTGCTGTTATTAGGGATTGAGGTAGTTGTGTGTTGGGTGGGTTCAGAAGAGGGGACGGTGACAGAATAACATTTGGAGCCAAGATAGGGACAGTTTATTGTTATCCATGACTCAACTGTATTTAAAAAACATTCTACAAGTCAGGTGCCTCTTTTCAAGTGTGAGAAAAGATAGGTTCCTTGTTGCAGCCCTATTATGAGATTAGGAATCTCTTTTTGAATAATAATAATCTGCATTATGTAATGCGTAAGAGGGCATCTGTTGAAAACGAAAACACCTCTGGACATTACCTTGCACCTACTTGAGCCTCCATCAATGAAAAGAAGCCAATGGAGGTGTGGGAACAGACGGACACACAGAAAATGCACGGTTCAACTCTATGGGAAAAATACATTATTGAAAGAAGAGAGCAAGTAGAGAAAGTGAGAACAAAAGTAATATTTATGAGATCTTTTTGTTTGTACAGGTGTGTAAAAGAAGATGCAACAGAAATAACTGATGATGCTATTTTTTTATTTGCTTGATCACATGCATCCCATGTCTTTCAAATTGTGATTCTGAGAGTGTCTGTAGAACCAGTGGATATTGCTGTAGTTTCAACTGTCTCTTTTCTTTTTTGTTTCCTTTTTAGACAAATCTTTCAATAAAAAAATGTTTCAAACAGTCAATACTCATGTTGTTTATTCTGCAGGCACAACGTAGAACCACTAGAGTGCACTGCTGTGCACAGTATGAGTTACGTGTGTGTGTGTGTGTGTGTGTGTGTGTGTGTGTGTGTGTGTGTGTGTGTGTGTGTGTGTGTGTGTGTGTGTGTGTGTGTGTGTGTGTGTGTGTGTTACATTTTCTCATTCGACACAGATGCTAACAAAGGAATTCATATTCAAACAGACGTATTTCTTTTTTAACATACAGTATTTCCTCTGTTAAATAATAAATTAGATGTGTTAAAGTACATGCTGGATTAAAGAAAACTGTAATGTATCTAATGCTGCAACACGGAAGCTTTAATGTTATACACAGCCACAAAGGCACAGTAACAAGATATTTCTATTACGTATCAGGACTAATAAAGACATTGCATTACAATCATGCATAATTCTCTCCATTTCAAAGAGCTAGGCAGCGTACAATGCATACAAAATGTCAGACACACACAAACGCACACACATCCATTCAATTCATGCTGTTTTCAGTCAGAAATTATTAATAGAAATACATTTGATCTGCTATACAATTAGATGTTTTGTAATTCCTTAGCTTATGTAACAAAACTACAACAGGGACCAAACAATAATTGAAAATATTCTAAACTTTCTAATACATGCTTTTCCTACGTTGGTAATGCTCTCAGTGTTCTGTTGCGGACTGATTCAGGCTCCGACCAAAAAGTTAATAAAAAAAACGTTGACATCAATGCTTAATATCTGTAAACTATTTTCTGCTCATAGAAATGAATCTCTCTTCAAAGGCATTAACATTATCAGACATTTTTCAGAATATATGTCAAACTCAGTAGTCGTGACTGAAAAGTGGAAATGTGTGGATTCCAATGTGATTGTCAGTGTCCTCAACACTTTATTTAAAATCGGGTGTACTTGAGTCCATCCACTCCACTGACTTATCTTACAGTATATACAGTACCGTTCAAATAGCTTCTGTAAATGTATAATATTTCTACAACAATACTTTCGTCCTTTAAGAAAACCTTCCTAGGGTGTGAACAACACATACAGTAGGCTAATATATGACATAATGGGCAGGATTGGGAGGGTTAAAATGTAATCCGTTACAATAACTAGTTACATGTCAAAAAATGTAATCACTAACCTATTCTGAGTATCAAAATATAAAAGTGATCTGTAACCAGAATACTTTCCGTTACCTTTGGATTACCTCAATATCAAATGTAGTTCAAATAAAAACAAGAACAAACAAATAACAACAAGGTGTTCTTTACTTAAGTGTATTTAACAATGATACCTTAAAAAACAAGAAACCAAGATATTTGACATAAAAAATGTAGTTACAGTAATAGTTTAGAAATGCTGTTTAAGCTTCATACATTAATCAAAAGCATAGATTGTAATTGTGTTTAATAAATCAGGTGTCCACCTACTGCATTAAATAGGAAATGTATTTAAAATAAAGAATAATTCAAATAAATCAGAAATCAGATCATAAAGAACATTAATTCAGTGCGTCTACCTATAATATATTTATATTTATTTCAAAATGTATTCTAACACTGTAATCCTGCTACTAATCTTTTTTTGCGCAAGTAATTGTAATCTAATTCAGATACCTTCTTTTAGTATCCTGATGACGTAATCTTGTTACATGTCGCCCGTTACTCCCCAAGCTTTGTTATTGATAAAACAACACAAAGACTAATTGTAAAAATTAATAAGTGACAGTTGACTGCTTTCCTTTACTTATTATAAAATATGATTAAAATTGATATTTAGCAAATAGAAAAATCAATATGTGGAACATGTATTTGCTAAATCATAATGAGACAATTGCACATAGCACATTGAATACATTGTTTATTAGGGAGGTTTTCATTCATTAAATGGGGAGTGTTGATGCGCACCACTGGTTTTCAATGAGGTCATTCACTATGTGATATAAAAAAAAGATTATTAGCAGGATTACAGTGTTGTGTACAGTATATCTTTAAAACACTGGCCTTGGCAAAGTGCTACCATTTAGCTTGTAAAGTGGAACCATACAGTGCAACTACATATAATACAGTATAATACAGGGGAATCAACATAATCAATCAGTCATTCAGTAGCTCATGCTTCTTTCTTTTTTTTACACAATGTTCGACAAGAACGGGCACGTCGAAATTCCCGGGAGCTCTTTCATTATCTCTGCAGCATTCATAGACCACTGTGTCACCCGTTTTTGCATCCTATTACTTAACCTATGAGAGTGTGTGTCAATTGTAACATTTTGAAAGTCTTCTTTGGATACGTTTTTTACCGTTTTATTATAACCAGTCTATTCAAAGTCACTAACGGGATACACTGGAGATTATTTTATTTCATTTTTGAGTCTCTTACGTTTTTATAAACCCTCACAATTGACACAGATGGCAGTTAATGGCACAAACTAGAAAATTCCCCTTAGTTACTGTCGGTGCAATTGTCTTGGCAGGCACATGCTGCTGTAGTGCTCTCCTTCTAGTTAAAGGATAACAGCAACCCACAAGTCTTCCAATGGCCATTCCCTTTCTCGCACTTCTCTCAGTAGCAGGTGCGAATGAGGAAGATGAAAACTAAAACAACAGTTATGATGATGAGTGCTGAAAATAGAAAGATAAGACCGGCAAACAGGGGATCTGTCATGGGGAGGATTTCTTTCACTTCAGACGGGATCATGTTGGACAAACTCAGCATGTAACCCAAACTCCAGCCAATGTTGGTGTCCTTTACCTGCAGAGAGAAGAGAGGAGAAGAGTTCTCATAATGATTTGGTCACAGTGAATCTGATTGATGTACACAGTATTTTTCAATGCATCTAATACATCATCGTTGCGTGTCTAGAGATGTTGATAATATTAAACGTTCCTGTTGTTTAGTTCACAATTACAGCTCTAGGGCAAAAGATGAGTAATAACACCCTGACATCATCTCTGTTTATAACCCAAATGTCTCTGTGCTGTAATTTCCTCTGAAAGGACCTGCCCAACCACCAGACTTCTAGTCACCCTTCAGGCGCTCAACAGCACACTGACCCTCTTGTTGGCTGCATTGACGATTTGGAGCATCGCCAGCTTCTAAGGAACCTTCTTGTGTTCAAGTCTGAAGTTTAAACCGCCATGCAATTTGGAAACTACGGCTGTAATGTGCGGCTTTTCCACAGCTACTGTCTTTCTTCATGACTCATGTCCTATAGATTGTGTGTTCCAGAACAGGAATCCCCTTCTGTTCAGGGGGTTCCATTGTTAAAGCCGCTCCCTGTCCTCAAGGCATCCTGCAGAAATACATTGGCTGTCTTTCATGCCACCCTAAACTGCAGATGATTGGTATGTCTGCCGTTTATCTCTATCCCAATGGGTGGCCTAGACTCACATTTGTGCATGTTAAATGCTAACCGCCTGTGACTCAGATATGTTGGCAGCTAAAGCATATAAACTCTCATTAAATTGCCAAAGGTATATTCTGATAGTTTTCTTAAAACAAACCTATTTTTTGAAATAGAAAATAAAGAAATGTGATATGTGTGCTTCATAGCCGTGTAAAGAACAGCAGTATTAGCAAGCGGTGTAGTGGAGTTTATTTTGTTCAACCAACCTCTTTTTGGAAGTGAATGTTTTTCCACGTTTCTTTGTCAAACTTGTATCCGTCTGTCAGCAAAGTGAGCACATAGTGAGATGAAAAACAATAGGTCCTAAGGTGTTTCTCAAAGGTCAAATTCTTCTCTTTCTGCAACTGTAAGAAAGAAAACAGAGATCAAGAAAGTGTCCAGTGATAGAAAGAGGAAGAATTCAAATGTATTATGTAATAAATACATGTATCAGCCCATTTGATTGCCATTATCAGTGGTTAACAGCCTCAGTGGGTTAAACTACAACATTTACAAGGTTGTTGTCATCTCATTGAAGGAGTCAGGCACCTTTTTAGGAAAAGCAACATATAACACGTAGGGAGCAGGTCAGGGTGAAATCATGGGTCAATAAACACTGGACTTTAGCCAATGAGCCCAGTGATTGTGTCTGATGAAACTTATTTGAAGTAACAACACACTGATGACACACACATGATCTTTTCCTAAACCTCTCCAGGTAGTTTTACTTTCTAAAGCTGTCTTAAAGGTGGGGTAGGTACGTTTGAGAAACCGGCTCGAGATACACTTTTTGTTATATTCCATGGAATGCTCTTAACATCCCGATAGCAATGAATATCTTAAGTGCTTTGACAAAAGATCCATAAAAAAAAGTCATCTGTGGAAGCCGTGGTGCTGTAAAAAGCACGACCAATCATCTGAGCCGGCCCGGCTAAAGTAACTGGATGGCCTACCTGCCTGTCAGCCTTCCATCTGTGCACAAACTTATCTCGTGCCCTCATTGGTCATGTGCGCGTTCGTGTGTGTTGGAGGAGGGGCTCTGTAAGGAAGTGGCAGATTTGTTCCGGCTGTGTATTTTCAAATTCTAGCGCACTCGAGCTGGTTTCCCCCAAATTACCTACCCCACCTTTAATGTTTAAAAAGGTCTTTATTTGTCTAATACTGCAGCTCACCTCTCTCACCCGCTGTCTGAAACCTGAGCCCAGTCTACTCTGATCTGATTGGTCGCTTAGAGATGTCCCGCCCTATAGTATATCATGTACAATGTGTTGGAGCGCTAGCAAATAGAAATGTGAGGGCTGTTGTCACTATGTTGTGGAACGGGGGGGGAAACCTCAAAAAGCATAATAGGCCCTCTTTGAGGTCAAATGTTACGCACTGATTGGTTTGATGTTTAGGGATGGGAATGAGAATCGTGACTGATCCTTTATCTTTAAATCTGTCTATTATTTTTGGCCAATTTTGGACTACCCCTTTAAGGTTTGGATCTGGCTGCCAAATGGACTTGGTCTTGACAAAACATGGCATAAAATATATAATATGTAGGTGACAAGTGGCATGCACTTATTTGATACAAGCGCCACACTCACCAGTGTCTCTGGGGGCAGACAATGCTTTCAGTGCAGATTGTAATGCCCCATGAGGCTCTAAATGTGCTTTTAAATGCTTCAATACTTGATAGAATATCAAATCCTTGGGGGAAACACTAACTAACTAAGGATATAAAGAAGTTAGAAACTTCTCTATCAAAGCCCTTGTGCTTTATGCGCTTACCATTAAAAATGTTAGCTAGTTGTACAAACACACATCACATGCATGGGGTGTGTGTCCATTACTTTCGGGCTCAGTCTGAGGTCAGACAGCTCACTCCAGTGAAAAAGTCACCAATTTACCTCAAAATGCAAATCCCAGCTGTAGCCTCATTGGCAAAATGCATGCATGTGTACACGTTTCCTTTAAGGGACAAATTGACAAATCTGTGTGCAGCCTCCCACTACAGTCTCCTGATTTCACTGATTAATCAAGTGAATAAAAACTAGGTCTTAATTAAAAGGGATCTGGACATGCTCCCAGCCCAGAAACTGGCAGACCCCCACCGCGCAGCTCCAAAGCCCCACAAACAAAGTCCCAGAATAAATGACCACCACATAAAAGGTGAATAATTCACTGTAATGAGGGAACTTAGCAATAACAACAACTGGCATATGTCGTCAAAATGAAGAGAAATATGTGCTTTCCACAAATAAGAACAGCATAAATGAAATTAATCTCATAAACAAGAACATAATTCAGTTGAATAAAAAACAAATGGTAAACCTAAAAAAAACAAAGTATTCCTCTCTTGAAGCCTGGGAATTTGCCCTTGACTTGAAGCCATCTGTTGGGACCTCAGTGTCACAGCTTTCATTTCCTTAAGTAACACTAAGTAAGTGACCTCAAAACTCAAGAATTATGACACAGGGTAGAATTATGGATACATATAGACTATTCCTTAATAAGAAGAAAGTGGTGGCTGGACATTAATCATCAGGAATTTAACCTCCAATTCTTACATCTTTAAGCAGTCGGGTTTTAGCTGTAAGCACTCTGACTTTGGCCACACAAGGTGACTGGCATACATACTACATGAAAGGACAAAGAATGTTTGAGTGTTTGCTGAACATGAAATCATTCTTGTGCCTCAGATGCATTAGTTATCCCTAAAGCAACAGCATATCAGAAGATTTGACTACAGCACATTTTTGTAGCACAAAAGGGCTTCCTGGAACTTGTATTTTAATGGAACCTTCCTGTTTAATAAGGGATAAATACATTAAAATGTTTAGCCTATGGCATGTAAGGGAATATGATGACATAATAGAGTAAAAAGAGAAGGGTTGTACAACAAAACTGCTGGTATGATATCCAAAGTAGGGCTGAACGATATATCACATCGCAGATATTCATCGCAGATATTCACATCGCAGGGACGTGCGATTTTATACATTTTTTTTTATACATTTTTTTTTTTTAGAACGTACGATATTAAGTAGGTACATTAACTCAAACACGTCATGTTACAATTATTTTGCTGCTTGCTACAAAAGGAAAACGTGCGCGGCTCTCATGTCAGGGGTACTTGAGTGAGTGACATGCAGGCTCTGCATGCACAGCAAACCAACAATCACAATCATTCTTGATCAGATCACAGCAGGCCCCGCCCCGCTAGTTTGCAGAACATCAAAACACCGGTAAAAAATGAGCGAGGCACAGGAGGACAATACCGGCGAGAATGAAGATTTACTTCCAAAAAGAAAAGCAACATCTGCCATCTGGAACTATTTTGTATACAAAAAGGTTCTTCTCTTCTTCATTCACAGATGAACCCCCTTATTTGAGGGTAAGCAACATGCATTATCATGACATGTTAGATCATGACTTAAGGTATGATGAGTCAACCAGTTAAGATCCAGACGTCCGTGACTCAAATCCTTCATCCGGTTAAATATAGTTTAAAAAAAACGCAATATATATCGCAGGGGAAAAAAATATCGCAATGACAGTTTTTTTCAATATCGTGCAGCCCTAATCCAAAGTATATGCAATATTTGGTAAACGCAAAATACGTGAACATATAAGTTAAATATTGTGGCGCTGCAAAGAAATCCCGATCAACAACCAATCTAAAGACTTCATTAAACCTTCTTGTTTGGAAAAGACCTTTTAATAAAAAAAAGAACAACAACAAACACACCATGACCATCAAGTATAATTTTAAATGCTAATATGAATAATGTTGTTTTTTTTTATTAAATGGCAAAAGATATTGTGGTTGCAATTTCCAGATGAGGCAGTCCTAGTAATCAGCACAGTATTTGAATGTTCCCCCAGTATTCTGCATGGAAATATTATCAGTGGGTTTTCTAACAAAAGCTAGAACAGCTTCACAAACCGTCCACTGTCACAAGGCTGAAAGTGGAAACAATCCTTTTTATTTCCCATACATCAGACACTTCACACACACACATAATTTACACACGTGGTAAACACAGAGTATGGACTACAACTAAAGTCCCATTAAAGTTTGGGCTGAAGGGGGGGGGGGGTCGAGTGAACCATAGGAGGCAGAGAAGGGCATTTATTGATGGCGCCCTCACATCTCGTTCCTGCATTAAGTTGATTTTTTAAAAGCAATTAATACACATAGTCAGGGAGAAGTAATGGAGCGCCCTGTGTTCTTAACCTGCCGGACATTTCCCAGCCGAAGCTCTGACCGACGCAGCCCTGCTTTGCATTATAAATGACAAGATAAATCTTAATGGATTGAGGATAATCAGTTTGCCATGAAGGCTGACATATACACACGTTCACTGGGTATGCAAGCGCTTACTTGTATATAGACAAACATGGACGTACAGACACAAGGGAAATTAAAGGCTTTGAATACGTCTGCATTGATTATTTTAAATTATTAGCCCACCTCTCTTTGGACCTCCAATGCTTTTAGCCTAAGCTTTAACACATTTACAGAGACTTATTGACTATAATTACAACTGAGTCTTGGTAATGGACACATCAATTATGAGTCGCACATGTCTCTGACCAAGCGTTGCTCTTGGAATCCCAATCTGGGGTCCATTAGCGTCTCTCCTGCTGGTCTGAAGCTCAATCAGTCTTTACCTTCACCTCAACTGAAACGGCTATTACCTGGCTGCAGTAGATAGTAGCCTTAACATTAGCATAAGCTGCCAAAGAAGAGGCTGTGTCTACCCACTCAATACGGTTGGAGCTAAATACAAAAGCCTAATAGCTGAGCAGCTACACATTCATGTTTTTTTTTTGGACACTGGATGTGTTCAAGTGCTCAAAATGCATTACAAAAGGCCTAATATCAGTCAGAGGTTAAATAATTAATACAGCTTCTTTAAAGTGGACCTATCATGCTATATTTGAATAATATAGTGTAGGACCATACCTATATAAGACATATTTATACTTTTTATTTTTCAAAATACCAAACAGATCATGCATTTTAGCCATTCCTCATTTCGCTAAATTTGTTTGCCTTTGCATGGGCTGATTCTGTGAGAACAGCACCATCTACAGGCCTGGCATATGTACTACAGCGTCTCCAGCGCTTTCGAACGGCAATGTCCGTGGCTGCCTCCTCCTGATTGGTGGAGTTGGCCCAATAGCCGTAGCGCCACTTCTGTGACGTCATAGAAGTGTTCAAATCTGGATCAGTCTCTATCAGATCCGTTGCAGCCCCTTTTTAAGAGATTTGGGTATGGAGGAAAATAGAGAGGGTTGTGTTTTCTGACACTTGGTGAGTTCCCTGGAACACCGGGGACACATATTCATGTATAAAAGACGTACAAAAA